TCCTCCAGGAGCTTAGATAGCAGTTGTTTTATTTTAGAAAAGTCCACTTGAAACCCTCTGTCGTCCCCTCTCCCTCTCCAGGAGCCTTCGAGGAGGAGGGGGGCGATTTTTCACCTCACCTTCTTCCTTCGTCACTGCACCGTCACCCCCCCCCCTTTTCCGCAGGACAGCTTCCAACCTACCCTTCACTCGTTGCACTACTCCCCACCCAGCCGCCTCACCCCAGGAGACCGCCCTGGACCTGCCTATGTGCCGAAGAAATCATTTTGATTAATCCTTACGATATGATTAGCAGAGAAAAAATACCCATCGAAAAGAGGGATGTAAGTACCACAGATGTTATTACAAACCATTACAAATGAGAGTGGCTTCGCAACCTAATTAAAAATCCTGAAACTGTTGTCACCGTGTAAACTTTGAACCTAACTCAACTGAGGTAACAATAACGGGAGAAAAAGATAATTAGTAAAACAAAAACCTACCAGACCAGTCCCTGGAAGATGTTCTGGATGATAAGAAACGACTGTGACACAATCAAAAGCAAAGTGACATGTGACCAAGCAAACTGAAAATTTAAAAATAAAATTAACTTCAGCAACAGAGGGCAATTTCCAATTTGCATTTCAGCGGAAAGTACAGCCTCTTTTCCGAAATTCAACCCGAGCGCACACTGACAGCGTGAAGCTGGAATAGCGCCAGCACGGATTACGTGGCAGTGGCATGGAACGGCACGCCCTGCTGGCTTGAAAATCCCAAATTTCATGCTGATAAATTTAAAGAAAGGAATGAGCAGAAGCGTGTGCTTCATGTGCGTCTCAAAGAGTGACCGAAGCAGTGAGAAACATGCATGCTTGTGAACTGGTGCTGAAAAGCAAATGAGGAAAGAGCAGACCATAGTGTTCATGCACAGGACATAGGCGAAGTGCTTGTTATCTGGAAGAAGAAAAGTAACTAACAGCTACCAAATGAGAAGCGGCAGGATACCGCAGATGATTTTACGATTTAAAAAAAAAAAAATGCTCACAAGCTCGCAAACGGAGAATTTCTGTGAAAATTTTGCGGAGATACAATTCGTGGTGCAAAAAGCAAAATAGCATTTCGCAGACAAGTGATCTGGGCAGGCTGTGAATGCTGAAACCACACTGGCCATAGCTCGGAAGATTCAACAACACTGAGTTGAGTCCGATCCAAATGAACGGTGATTAGCAATTAAAATATTACTAACCAGTGAGAACTGACGCATGTAATATGATTTGCGCAGCGACAGAACAAACCATACGAATCCAATACAGTACAGTGTAAAGCTGATCAGCCGATGGTGCGCCACCAGGAAGTGAAGAAATTGCTGAAAAATGAGCCAGAACTAGGGAAAACGAGTGGAGAAGGCAGCTGCGCATGCTACAACTGCTAGCAGTGCCGTGATTGCACTTCGGATGAAGCAAATTACGGTAATAAGTATTGTCTGGTACAGGCCACACACACGTAAATCCATGAGGCCCTTTATCACACAGTTTCGGATACCAACATTTGCAACACAGTGTCGCATCTAGCGAAAGTGATAACATTTCTGTTACAAGCACTGATCTGATAGTACATGTATCAACCAAAAATCCAAGAAAACCTTTTTTTGTGTGTGTGGGCTTTTTTGTTCAATTTGATGGATTGGGCAGCAGTGTTGCTCACTCCGACAAATTCTACGGGATGGAGGAGCGGAGCGCCTGCACGGATGGATCCTTGTGAATATTCGCATGCGCGCTTCTTTGCACTATGGTGAATGGGCGCATGGGCGAATGAATGGGTGAATGGTTGCAACAAATGGACGCATCGACACTTCTTTGTATCGAGAGATCGGTCGGGAAGCTACTGGTGAGGAACAGTTCTATTATTGCAAAGCCGAAAATTCTGGACAAAAAAATTCGTCACCTGGGATGGTTTGCGTGTGGGCATAAGTGCATTTCAAGAATTGGCCAGCCAAAAAAATTCGTCAAAATTTTTGAAAATTTAGGACACCCGTAG